AATTGTTGAGATCGGAAAATAGTCCGTATAACTGCATAATTACCAAATTTTCATTACGCTTAAGTTCACATTGCAAAGATTCGTTTTGTATACTTAAAAAATTGGCAACAATTTCCACCTAAATTTTGTGCGCGATACAGTCGTGGTTACGATAACGCTCGAGGTTTTTCCTGCCGAACAACATCGCTCAATTTTCATAACGGCTAACAGTTCCTCGCTCGACAAATCGATCGTCAGGGTGGAAACAGCCGCAGCCGAAGATGGGATGGAAACCGGGCACGGTGTGGCGCGCGGTGCCGCGCGCGCGTTTCAGAAAGAAACATAAAAATGCGTATTACCGATTCCGGAATACGGGCCATTAGTCTGAAGTCAGCGCGGCTATCGTTTATTAAGCGCAAACAGATATTAATGTATTTTTACACGCGCCCACACGCGAGTTTTGTTCGGCCAGCCGCCACCATCAGCCAGCCACCGCCGTCGACGCCACCGCCGCCGCCGCCGCCGTCGACCGACGCCGCCGCCGCCGCCACCGACGCCAAACTACGCAGCGCGATCCGCGCGGGGTCGAAGCCAAATCCAATTACTTTTATTCGGGCGAAATGAGTGCAGCTAAGTCATTAATACTAATCAATGGACCGGACCCGTACCGACCAGCTAGAACGTGAGCGCGCGAGCGCGCGCACACATACAGAGAGAGTGAGTGAGTGAGTGAGTGAGTGAGAGAGAGAGAGAGAGAGACCCGAGCGTTCCACAGGAATTACCCATAACTCAAACGGCTCGAAATGACTTTATTGCAAAAAACTTGCGCTTTGCTACCGGCCGCGCCGCTTCTCCTCGTATACGCATTGTTAGAAACCTCCGCGTACCGATAAGTAATGTTTATTGTTGCATTTCCAACGGCCAACCGAACGCTCTACTCGCCCTCCTTGCTCCGCGCTACCCTTGTATTTTTTTCGCACCACCCACCGGCCGTTCGCGTTCGCCGCCATCCCCGCCACGACGCGGGGGTGATCGCGGGGGGAGGCGGGGGAACGAGGGAATCCAGCCCCGGTTTTTTCGCATTAGCGAGATGGCCTATGGACGCGGGCTAACGATTTTTTATTGACCGGCGCGACCGATTTCTCCCGGAGAATTTAAAGCGCCGACGGAGCCAATGGCGTGGGCGGCACGGCCGCTCCTTCTGTTCGACTTCGTCGGTTAAGTCGAATGTCTCGAGGCGTGACGCAAGGAATCGAACGCTAATTACAAATTATAACTTACCGCTCTCTGTGTAAAAGTCACATGTATGTATATAGTTCCCGATGCTCGCTTTATTACTTCGTAATTATACACGATGTGCGATTGGTAATTAGCAATTACAGAAATGTATAAAACTAGAGAGAGAGACTTTCAAAGTGCAAAGGTTAATTGCTACTAAGAAATATTTAATGTTTCGTTTTAACGAATTTAACGTTTTGTTGAAACATGCGTGAGTAATATGTTTTCATTTTATGTAAAAATAGAAAAATGTAAAAATATGTTATTTTCGTTACGCGGAAATAGCGAGGAATTAGTCGGCGAGATGAAGAAAAGTCGACGGTGTGCTTGCGCAAGAGTCGTTTCGACGCAGCTCGATGCGGCGGCACTGATTAATTTATGCGAAATATCGAAAGCCCGTAAACATATGTTTCTACGGCTGTATATCGTGCACACTTTTACAAGCAAAATGGTCGAGCCTGTGCATTCAACTAATCCCCCTCGCCTCGTCCATTTAATATAGGGTGGCCATACTGGCGGTATAGCCGTTTACGAATTTGCGTGGAAAAAAAATTGAACTGCCATACCCCCTGCGCCTCCTATTTTCGTTCGTTACCTATCGACCGGGCTTTATCTATTTTTTATGCAATGAAATGCCTCGACCAGCGACGCGCATGGCCCATTGTACGTGTGTATGTGTGTATGTGTGTGTATGTGCGACTTTGACAAAAATTCAGGCCGAGATTACAAGCCGCACCCATGATAATATTCCCTTTTTTTTTTTTTTGGAAAAAAAAGAATCGGTCTGAATGTAATGAGATTGATAATGCAATTAACTTAATATTTGCGAAGCGGAATGTTTTATCTGTTTTTTTCGGCTTCACAGATTTTTGAAAATAATAGAAGAATTTCTTCTAGAAAAAAAAATAGAGAAGAGATAGAGAAGGGAGGGGGAAGAAGTGTAATCACAATCTCCGTCAAGCTTAAACTTTTTGCCATGCTGTTTTAAAGTTAAACTTCTTCTGTCATTGCGCGTCGCGTTCGAGTTCTTTGAGAAAAAAAAAAAATGTAAACCGGCGCGCGTCCGGTCCGGCGAAGAAGTTGCGCACACGTTCAAAGTAAGATGATAGTGGAAGCTATCGAAGGATTTATTCATAGGTCCGGTGACTCGCGGGAACTCTTTTTCCCGAATTACTCGAGTGTCGAAGCTCTAAAACGCTTAATCTGTATCCAACTATGGCGATACACGTTCCAGCATATTTCCATACCATTATGCAAAGAGGCCGCACCGGTAACATTACTCTCCGCGGCACACAGCCACCACCACCACCACCACCATCACCACCACCGTCGCCGATATACACTTGTGGTGGTAAAGCATCACGGCATATATACTCCATCGATTTATTATAATTTAGATTGTCTTCTAAGAACCTTGGCTATACGTGCACGCGTTACGTATATACGCGGCACGCCTTAATGTGCCGACGTTCGTTAATTATTCCCCGTTGCTATTCCGTAAATATGCATGAATTACATATCTGCAGGCACGAAAGCGAAGCGGACGGGAAGAAGACGCGTGATTAATACACTTTTTCGCGCGAGCGCGCGGCCGATTCTCTCTCGCCCTCGCGCGTATTTTAACAACAATCCTACGCTTGTTTCGTTTCCCATTTCCCCGTGAAGTGGAAATTTTTGGCGAAGTTGGCGACGCGCGCGTTTCTGTCGCTTCTGCTCCTATCAAAGTGGGTATTGATTAAAATCGGAAGGGGAACTAAGCTAATTCGAAAAATGTGTTTATTGAGCGTGAATAATTAAATTACTTGGTCCGCACGCGCGGATTCCCAAATTATGTTTATGGGAGGGACCACATGGGAGAGATAATAAACGAACGAGTTCGCGATTTTCATTGTCACGCGTAAGTGATATTGAAATTATCATTTGACACAGACCGATCGTCCGAACTCTCTAGTCTCGGATGGAACTTGTTTCGTCGAGCGTACAATTATCGCACATTTAATTTTATCTATTCCGTCTATCGGATTCTATGATTCTCCAGATACACCGGTTATTTTTCCGCCAATCTCGAAATAAAAATATTTTCATGTTTTATTAGCTAAGACCGTGAATGATTATTAATCAATTTTTAGCGTCAATAACGCGATATAAATAATGTGGTTCGTTAAATCGCACCGCGCTTTTTATCGCGTGTAAATGTACATACACCTCGATGAGAAATGATCGGGACGCAAAAAAATGATGATTTCCAGCTGTTAAAATCTCTTGCGTAGCGATTTGATATTTACGCGAGAGATGATATAAGTATTTTCATATTTAGATTTCAAAGAGTCGGCAGGAAAAATATCTTGGCAATAAATCCAAGACGAAACGTCGGTATGATAGTAAAGCAATTATCGCCAGTAATCAAACGCTTGTTTCACCGGAGGTTGCGTTCAGCTCGTGCATGAGAATGTGTGTTTGTTACAGGAGAGCGACAGGAGTAGCGCGGGAAGTCCCGAGCCGGCGTCAGGTGGAGGTGGTTCACTTCACGAGCAACATCAAATGATGATAGATGACATAAAGAATTCGCGAAAGAGACGACGGAGTCCGTCGCCCGAAAATCTCCATCAGGCGAAGCGCGCGGCGGTCGCGCAGGCTCATCTAAACGGAACGAGTAAGTGCGAGTTGAGTTTTTTGTTTTTTTTGTTTTTTTTTGTTTTCTCAGAGACTAAACTTTATATACGATCGAATAACATAATGCTCCGCGATTTATGTGTGTGCAGTGGCCGGAATGGTGACACTTCAGAATCTTCAGAATCTAGCGAATTTACAAAATCTCCCGCAAGTCGCATCGTTAGCCGCCGGTCTTCAGGGGATGACAGCAGGACTGACTAACAATCAATTGATCAATACCCCTCTGAATTTAACCGTCAGCTCGTCAGGTAAAAGCAAAACGACGAAAGAATTAATTTTACGAAATTTAATCGAATTTCTTACGAGTTTAAATGGAGATTTTACGTTTCCGCGTGTGAAATTTGTATGCATAGAGAGAATCGAGCACATCGGGAGAGTTTCACGACCGAAATAATCTAACGCTGCGAAATCGTTGATTTTCATTCGCAGGCGGAACGGTACCAACAGCTTCGAGTACGACGGCAGCTTCCCACCTTCTGCCACCTAGTTCGGCTCCAATGGCGACGTTACCTCAGCTATTATCTCAACCGCAACCGGTCGCGATGCCTCAATTCATCCTAACGTCCGGTCAATTGGTTCAGGGCATTCAAGGGGCTCAGCTTCTTATCCCCACTTCGCAAGGTAGACCACCGACACGTACGAGATCCGGCGTTCCTCTAAATCTAAATGAATCCTCTCAATTCGCTCGTGTTCTTATATCGTACACGCGAATGTTGATTTCGATTTTGCTAGCGCGTTTTATTTTGCGCGAAATTACAATCGCATTTTCAAAATCAAACCCAAATTCTTGCAAATCGACAGTTTCGAAACCGTCGTGTAAAACTATCACGCGTTTGCCTGATGAAACACACAACTCCGACGACGCTGTGCCAGCGCATAATGTTGTGCAATCAAGATGTGCCGATATATAATATAATATCGACTATCTCTGACCAGCGCTCGGACTAAGGCCGGTCCGTCGTCCATACTTAGTGGTCCTAGACTGCCTCGGCGAGCACAGGGCAAACTCTGCAACTAATTTCAATGTATAATTAACGTCTCACTACCCCTTTCCAGCCTCACGAATCCCACCCCAAGCTGCCTCCTTTCTCAGGTCCGTTCTCCCCCTTTTCCTCCTTCCTTCGCTCTCGCTCTCCTTCTCTCTATCTCTCTCTCTCTCTCTTTCTCTCTCTCGTCCCTTTTCACTCCTTATCCTCTATGCTCCTAACCCTAGCACTCACTGGCTGGACATCGCAGCTCCGCGGATTCGGCCGCTATTATATCGATTGCGGTCCGCGCTAACTTCGTTTCTACCAAGTTAGGTTCCTATTCTGGCAATCGGAGAGAGAGAGAGAGCGAGAGAAAGAGGAGAGAGAGAGAGAGGTAAATAGATAGATAGATAGAGAGACGCAGAGACACAAGCGGGTGCAAGCAAGAGAGGGCGGCAGAAGGAGGAACTTTGGGATTCCGCCTAAGTGGATTGAAGTTCGTGGATATGGACCAGAGCCGCGGTAGGATGACGAGTTACGTGGCGGCAAATAATGTTTGCACTGCTTTTCGGCTCAATCGATGGTAACTGACTAACGCTCGATTGGTCTCTGATAGACATCAAGTGTTAGCAAGGACAAGTCAAGGAGTGGCCCGTGTCGGAAGTGCGATCGATAAATTGCCGTTCATAGAAATTATTGTTCGCATGGGAATGTCGCCATGATTCTATATATAAAGTCATATTACAGTTATATCTCGCGCAAGATCTTACATATATGCAAAACGATTAAGATCTAAAAAGCGAAGATCAAAAATACACGAGAGGTCATGCACGTTTCTGGCCGTTGAGCCACGGAAATACATTCCTCTGAGTGATCTTTCTTTGCATCGGATATAAATAAATTTTCGATTTTCTTAAAAGAAAAATATATCTTTCTCTCTTTCTATCTTTTTCTCTCTACTCTCTGACTCTGTCATTCACATCTAGCGGACGATGACGCACAAACGCTCGGAAGTTCTCGAACAGAGCGCTTATAACACAGTCATGTTCCCTGTGAAAATTATTTTGACATCGCGCATCACACATTTGACAGTGGGGTGCAAGAGTGAAAGTATTGACGGCGCATTATCGTTCGGTAACGTTTGAACTGCACTGTTAATCGGATTGTCGGTTGACCTTACCTCAGAACGTGAAACTTTTATGGCTGTTCGGAATACGGGATTTGCTTAGCTTAGCTGTAGGTGGCAACACGGGTACGTACTCATGATCAGTAATCATATTAAGCGCGTGTACAGGGTAATCAGATTAGCGGAGCTGGAGGTAATCCCGAAACTATTCTAAGTATGATTAGGCGTCCTTCTCGCAGCGCAGTCCAGTGCCAGTACCTGTACCCACTATTAAGATGACGATAATAGTTTGCCAACTACGCTAGCCTGCGAGGTTACCTGCCCTATGGGTTGCCTAATAATCCCTCTATGAGACTCTGATAACTTTACTACCCATCCTGGATCAACGACGCGTGGACTATGTTCATAATGGAAATGAAGTATCTATTGATTCGAAATGCGATTATACAACGCTTTCGCGTCTAGATATATCATAATTAACTTCCCTGCCCTGATTCCCGGGTGCGATACCCTAGTCGAAAAACAGAGATGCACGTAAATTTCAAAAAAAATACTTCTCGTGTTTCCTCAGGAATCGCCACTCAGACCATCTTGACCATACCGGTGAGTCACGTCACGAACAATCAGATGGTGAATCTGGCGCTCAGTAACGGACAGGTAGTTTCTACGACGCTGGCGAACCTTCAGTCTCTAGCTCAACCGCAAAACATGCTTAACACGCCTACAAGCAACGGTAAGTTCGTCGCTGAATCGTCGTTTTATTAAATGATTCGTGCGTCAATTGACGTTCTGTATGTGCGATTTTTTTTATTATTATCTTTCAATTATCTTTTTTTATTATTAAAGTTTACAAATTTTCTTTTGTGACTCTATACGTTTTATTATGGGCTTATTATAAACGCGCTAAATAAAATCGTGTTGCGTCTACATTGCGATTGAATTAAAGCGTCGCGACCGATGTCGTATTTATTACGAGCGTTTATACGTGTCCTTTTATCAGTTCCCACGAGCCCCAGCCTGGCGTCGGGATTAGGACTGAACCCCGCCGCTTTACCGCACCTTCTGAGCAATAGTTCGGCGAGCCAGCAACTTCTGAACGCGATGCAGCCTCAGCAACTGCTTCAGGCCGCCCAAGCGGCACAAGCGCAAGCGGCGCAAGCTGTACAGGCCGTTCAGGTCTCTCAGCAACCGCTTCTAACAACGTCGCCTCAACAGCACAGTCACCGACACACCTCGCACATGAATCACTACACGGTACGTATAAACCTTCTATCTTTAAAAACAAATCAGCATTTTTTGTGCAACGTGTAAATAAAATTTTCAGTAAATTATTTTTTTTAAATATTCTGAACAATAAATTTTAGAACTTCCACATTATTGGATTTTTTATTCCAATAATATTAAACACAAAAATAATCATGCAGGTTATATATAATTAATTACTGACTGTTCGTTCAGATATTGAAATAGAGCGCGGAATTCTTTATGTCGCGCCGCTAACAAAATTGATAGACACATATACACACACACACACACACATACACACACACACCGCTATATACTCGTTAAAAAAAGCAATGTTCTTCTTTTACAATAAGCTTCATATTTTCGTGATATCGCATATTATTGTATTGTTACGGGCACCGCGTGCATTTTACATTTTTGCCTCAGTAGCGACCGTCCAATATAAGTTATTCATTTTCTCGATAATTTCAACTACAACCGTCAGTGTATTTAACCTTTCCATCAACAACATTCTGCTGTACGGATCGCGTATCTTCCTCTGATTTCTCTGTTTCGCATATTTTTCTAACAATGTACGCGGATTTTCCACGGTATCACGACGCACAGTCTCTCGAACGCGCGGTTTCTCCGCGCGCCGCGAAGGAAGGAGAAGACCGTGACCGCCGGCGCAGGATCAACAAACCTGAATAATTCCCAATACCGAGCAATCTTGTTAAGAAAGTATTCCGTAGCGGCGCGCGCGCGGCATTCCTTCCATTAATTAGACTCTAAAGTGTCCTGATCCGTGGCTCCGTCTCATTATCAAGTGCATAATTGGCGTGGAAGAGAAGAAGGCATTGTCGTCCGTCGGTGAGCCACTAATCCGTTCGTTTCTCGGTGCTTGTATTGTTCACAGCCGACGGAAAAACATCACAGGGAACGACCGGAGCAATCGTCGCCATTGAACGAATCCGTGGTGTCCGCCGCGTCCGCTCTGAACCGATTGGCCGCCAGCAACGGCGAGATCACCATCACGACGACGCACGGACCCGGCGGTACCGGAGTCAAGGCGTCCCCGAGCAGTATGCACAGTCCGAAGGAGGAGGAGGACGATCTCTTGAACGATTCACCGAGTAAGAGAGCGCACAGTTTATCTTTTATACGCGCGATATATACAATATATATATATATATATATATATATACGACGATTGTATTAAATACGCGCAAGTCGACGTGATCTGTGTCAATCGGGTTGCGGTACTCGACAGAACGTTTAAAAAAAACCGATGTCCATACGCGCGCCTACCGATAATCGAGCCACCGCGAGCCTTGAGGGTAGCCGTGTGTGTTACTGCGTGACAGCTTTTAATTACAATTTTCGCAGGGCACACCGTCTTCCCCAGCAAATAACGCAATCATCTCTCTCGCCTATACGAGGTGCAGCCGCGCTAATGCAAGCCAAGTGATTGCATGCATAATGATAACTTTTAAAGAAGCAATTACCACATGCAAACGCGCGTATCCCTTATCTTGCCAACTTGTCACATTCTGACGATATTTTTGACAAGATGTTAATCGGCGCGACTGGTTTGGTTCGCGCACAAAGTCGCACGTGTATATATATATACCTATGCGTCTCCGATAATTGAACCGCGGATTTAATTCATTCCTCCCGTTTTATCGGTCACTCTCTCTTTCTCAAATGACAGCATTTCTCTCCGACGAAACGTATTATTCGTCGCCGTGCGAGTTTAAACGCGGAAATGTAACGACGCGCGCGTTTTCACAAGTTAACTATAATACACACACTTAATGCGCATCGATCGTCGGAATGATAACTCTAATAGAATATCGTACACAACACCGGGCTCATTACGGAGCATTAGTTCTTTCCTCACTGACTTCTAGGAAGCCATAAAGATTTCAGCGGCGCGCGTAACCTCGAGAGCTGATAATAATTTTAATAATTCACAATCGTCGCGCTTATTCAGACGCTTTGCCCGTTCTGACGCGATGGAATAATAATCATTCGACGCGAGAGAATACGTCTAACGATTCTCAATTGCCAGCGTCAGATGTGACCGTTACTTCGTATAGGTATATTTGTTTTTATTAATTCATCTCAGAAATTTCAGAGATTCGCGTGACAGAAGATGTGCGCGCGCGCGCGCGCGAAACATTGAAATATAGAATTTCGCAATTACGACTACTACGGTGCGAATATTTCACTCGCGAATTATTAACGCGTTGTTTTATTTTTCATCGCGTCGCGATCGAGTCGCACGAACGCGCTCGCTACGCGATAGAAGCGGAGCCTGCGATCGAGAAATTAACGGTCGGTGTAGAAACACTGTCGCGGAAGAAGAATTTGCAGTTTATTGCGCGACGCAGAAACCAGGCTGGACTGGTCGAGATTACGAAGCACGTGGGCATTTCTATTGCGTGCGTACATTCGGGATGACAGATTTACGAGAGAAATCGATGTGGCTCGAGAGCGGCTTTAACGAAGCCGGCTGATGTGTCATTAGGCAAAACTTCATACGTCGGAGCTTCATACGTTTTCGATGAAATCGATCGAAATGTGCGCGCGAACGGCCGATGTGGCAGATCGTCACAAACACTTGCCCCGAATACACTATTAGAATGACTATAAAACTGATCACGCGCGACGCAGCGCGATGGCTTCGTTGCGCCGCTTATCGCATTAACCTTCTGAACCGCCAACATTTCATTTCGTTCATGACTAACGTCGTTTTCATAAATAGCTTGCGATCCGATTTAGTGGAAGCTGAAATATATATTGCGGAATATACATATACAAAACCAAACTTATTCATGATTGTTACAAAAATGTTATATCGGTGTTTTCTCATAAATAATATAGAATTATCGCGAGATACAAAATAATATACATTACCTCTTCGAGGTAACAAGAATGTGAAATAGATCAAAAATATCTAAACGCAAACATACAAAATTAATTCAGCGTGAAATTTAATTTCTTTCTGAAAAGATATTTCCAACCAAAGATAAATTGCAACAATTTTCGTTTTGTTACTCTTTATCAGAATTGAGGACAGAACGTTTGCATGAACTTTTATTGCAGATCAACCTACGATCAATGAGGCCACTAACAACGTAGTCGACGGGATCAATTTGGATGAGATCAAGGAATTCGCGAAGGTGTTCAAGCTGCGCAGACTGTCTTTGGGTCTGACACAGACTCAGGTCGGGCAGGCCCTGAGCGTGACCGAAGGGCCCGCATACAGCCAAAGTGCCATATGCAGGTTAGTTTCTCGACGCGTCGTCGTCGTCCTCCTCGTTCGTCGAAATGCGGACGTTGCTAATGAGAATTCAATAATATGGTAAAGTGTAAAACGACAGTGTGCCAGGTCACTGGAAATGGCGTAGAAAGGGTTTGGGATTTTTGTTCAGGGTAGCAAAAAAAAGGAACAGGACAATTACACATCCGTGCTCAATGGTTTTGTATTTTTTTTTTTTTTTTTTTTTGGTAACATCAAACACCCGAAAACGTGAAAACTGAGAGAATTTTGTTTCTTATATTATTATTTTTTTCTCTTTGTGTCTAATCTTTAACAAACAAAAAAAATTACTCCTCACGCATTTACTTGTCGTTTCAAATTTGTTCAAAGGCTGAAAAACGAAATTTTTTCAATGTAGCTTTCGCAGGCGCATTTACTCAAATTTTCGCGAGGTGCCATGACGAGGTTTATTCACATACCGTGATCTACCACGATGGTTCCCCGATTCACGCTGCGATTTTAAGTAGTCCGGGATTCGAAATTGCTCGAAGTCGTAACAAAAATGAATATTACTCTCTCGAGAGAGATCTCGCAAGTTGATTACACACTCGCTAACCGTATAATTATCCAGTACTTGAGTTTTCGCGAGCGCGGAATTTCCGGAACGCATTTCCGTTCGCATCTCCTCATCGTTGTTTTCGAGTTTTTGGAACGCGGAATGGGAACCATAGTGGTAATGCCGGTAGCAAAGCGTACAAAATGTTTATATACCTCTTAGCAAATTCTTGTCGTATCAACTAACATAAGCATTGGTGATTGTTCCCCAGTGCCCTGGCTACCCAGATGTACGCTGCGTCGCAGATTGCCTCTCAGCAGCAAGCTACGTACGTTCACCCCATATGCTACTCAATTTACCTAAAAATCTAAAAACTCTAAAATCCTTTAAGAAACCGCAGTTATACCCAACGATGGAAAAAAAAAAGTCGAAAAAAGTTTTTCTCCCGACGGTTGTGAGAAAAAAGTTTACCCGATCCAATTGATCGATCGTTAAAAAAATCAACGACGATCGTCGCGAAAAGAGAGAAACTAGAACAAACAATTGTCACCCTCATCTTCTCCCTTTCTTTTGTCACTTTTGCGCTTGTCCGATTCGCAATCCCTTCCCCGCTTAGAAACCGGCAGGCGTATTTGGGTATAGCTGCACAAGCACTCTCTCACTAATTTCTAATTCCGTTCGGAAAAGAGATGTGAAAGGAGCACTTCTAAAATTAACTCTCTTCGAGCCAGGGCATTGGCAAACTTGGGCGTGATGTCGCCAACGCGCTAAGAATAAAAAAAAAAAAAAAAAAAAAAAAAAAAAAAAAAGAAGGCAGAAGCCAAAACCGGGAGGAATTTTCACATTTGTCCAAGCTCCGCGATCGCTTCACGATCGCCGAGAGAGAGACTTGGTTTCACCTCGCTCGTCTCACGCGAGAAGCGGTTTCTCTCTCCGTAGCGCGTTGGCAACATCATCACCAAAAACACGGCATCACCAAAAAAAAAAAAAAAAAAACCTTAAAGCATGTACGCATTGTCAATGTCCTGTTATTGAATCAATGCATGCCTTTTAGTGCTCCTTTAGTGGGACAAAGACGTATAAGGACGGCAAATAAACGCTCGGGAAAGATCTTCGCGATTCTCGGAGGAGAAGAAAGATTTCTCCATTCGCGTGTCTCGTAATAATAAATATAAATTGCAAATTATCTTCGTGTTTTGTGCGTCCTTGTCTCTTCTTTCGTCACACACGTCCATTTCTTCCCGTTGTCTTTTATCAATTTTCTTAAAAAAAAAACATATGACGATAGAAAAAAAAATGGATCAAGCCTTGTTCTTGGCTTTAGATTCGAAAAGCTGGACATTACGCCGAAAAGCGCGCAGAAAATTAAACCCGTGCTCGAGAGGTGGATGAAGGAGGCCGAAGAGAGGTGAGTATTACTCCTTACGATATTTGGAAACAAACAAAAAAAAAAAAAAAAAACATTTACCGTACAAGAAGATCAAATTAGAGATCTCGATATAGAAAGAAGAAAGTCAAAACGAAAACGCGCAAATATTTTCTCGGACACGCTGCCGCGCGCGCACATATATATATATATAAACACGCGCTGTTAATTAATTTACGAAACTAGAATTTCTCAATTACGGTCTCTCGGTTACGAGTAGGCTTCTAACATGCACTTCTGATTATTTCACAATCGTCCAAGCGAATGTGGGGGACCATCGCGCGTCTGCGCGTCTGGGCTTCGAGAGCGTGCGAACGCGTGCGTGTTAATTGGTAATTCGCTAATTGAATCCACCTGATTAATTGCGGATCCGCGTCTAATAAATACGCGGAATGTTAATTAGAATGGGAGAAACCGTTACCGCGTGCGCGCGCGCGCTCGCGGCGGCAATCGCGCCCGTTCGTGGCCGCGCCGCTCCGTGTGTGTCGCGCGTTATAGGGGATCCTATCGATCCTCTCTCTAAGAATCTCGGGCTGTACCCGAGTGCGGCCGTGTATCCACTAGGTGTAAATTTTACGAGCCGATAAGATCTAATGAACTTTACGCCGCGAGCTAATCAGGAATCTATACGGCCGCGCTACAATTAAAACGCTCCGCGCGCGATACGGTTTTGACATCGTGCAATCAGACCACCGACGCGTTTTCCTCGCTCCTCCCCCCACCCCCCTCCTCTCCTCTTACCTCCCGGTTTTTTTTTACGGCGTGTAATTTTTCTGAAATTAAGTTAGATTAAACTTACTACACACACCGGGTGTTAGGTAGTATACTATTATTACGTTATTGTGTGTTACCCGATTTCTATCTGTGCCATTATTGCTTAATTAGAGTACATTCTCGTGTTGCGCTGCGAAAGAGGCTAAATATTACAGTCGCGTAATTCACGTCGCGCGATAACACCGAAATGCGATTCTTATACGTGACTAATACAATTCGGAATTAGGCCGTCGCGCCAAACAAGAAACACACACATCAAGAGCTCGCGCGCGTCTCTCACGTTATCGCGAAATATATATATATATATCTCTCTCGTACGCAATACTACGAATTAATAATAAAAAAAAGAAACATTCAAAAGACTGGTGCGCGTGTGGTCGCGCACAAAAGACGGTGTGCGATCGTTTTGCGAACTCTAACGACGATAAATCGCTGCGCGCTTCGAAGCGCGAAGAAAACAAAACACCCGCGCGAGGCAAGAAGAGGGTTTGGCGGCAGACAGCGCCATTGGATGCGCAACCGAATCATTCGATGACGGAAGCGACGACGGGCGGCACGGTCGTTCCTCTTTTCACGAGAGGGAAGCCGTGGCGCAACATACAATGACCCATCCTGCATTCGCGCGGCGTAGAACTAAGCGTCGACTGTGTGCCGGCCGCGTCCGGGAAAAATGAAAGCGGCTAGTTTATGCGGTGCACGTGCACGATTTATCTGCCGAGTAATTAAACTGTGGACTAATTAAAATCAGGTTTCTGATGTACCCCCTCTCCCTGCCCGCCTCTTCTCTCGTCCTACCCGCGTCGTCATCTCGCTCCCGCCCGAGCGGCGGCCCAACGTTCTCTCTGTCATTCCTTCTCCGCGCTCTCTCAACGGCATCCAACCTTCCTTCCGCGCTCCCGTCTTTCTTCTTCATCTCGTTCGTTCGTACGAACTCTCTCTCCCCGTTTACCTATACGCAACTACGTTGTGTATATACACCTACGTACGAGTTCGCACGCAGCTTCACATCCCATCCTCTCTCACACACTCTCTCTTTCTTTCTCCTTCTTCCCTCACGTATTAACTCACGTTCGTTTCACTTCTTTCTTCGTCGTCCTCTTCTTACGCTCGGCGCGTTTTCCTCCCCCCTCGCAACACCCTCGTTCAGTTCACCAACGACGCGCATACCAACGACGTGGCATCCCAACCCCGTCGAACCGCGTCGCAGCACCGACGGTTCTTCTCGCGCGCGCTCTCTCACCGACTTCTCCATTAGCATATTGTTTTCGCGAATTCGACGAAATATTACCGCGCGATGCTAATGGCCCGCCGTGTACTTTTTTCGACCCGACAGTTGGTCATTCGGAGTTAAATTAAAAACATAAATTTTGAACCCGGCACCGCACGACCGTATACACCTACCTATGACCGTATCCACCATCGAGCTTCCCCGCTTCAACCGTTTTCCCCGAACCGCTTCTCATCGCTCACTCGGGAGTCCCGGTGGAAGTTCTCCTGTTTATATTCGTCGCGGCCGCGAGTTTTTCCCGTTTGTCGCGCCCGTATATATACCGTGCGGCGCCCGATAATACGATCCGTCGAATGAAGTTATGTCGAATAGTGTCGCGCGGTGCCGAAAAAGTTCGCGCACTCTCGAGTTTCGGTTTCTCTTCTTGCGGTGACTCGTTTGTTCGAGGCAAAAGTAAAGCAAGACCGAGGAATGCCGGAGCGACGACGGAATGAGTATGAGCAAAATGTAATTCAATAATAACGTCGATCATTATTATTGCAAACGCATTGCACATGCATCAGTTTAATTAGTCACATTAAATTTCATCACTCGATGATCAACCCCGCATCGTCTCTTACTCAAAATTTTCAATCAAACCATTTAATTATAATAACAATACGAGTAGTAAAAATAAATAGGTACTTACGAAAATTTGATCAAATCGAAACGTGCTTGCAAGCTAAATAGTTAACATAATAAATATTGGCCGAAATCCGTAATGCGTTCATTAAATAACGAGCGAGGCAAAAGTTTGCGACAATGTATACGTGCGATCGCTAATTTTATTTGAGTCGACGACGATGTCGCGCCGTCGCTGCCACGACGAGCTCTCTGTTTCGCGCTAACACGAAGCAAGTTTGACTCGTGAATCAACGGAGTGTGTATCCGGGAAAAAAAAAAAAATTCAATAGCGGACGGGATATTTGCGCCTGAACGTGTCCGAGCGCGAATATTGCGCGACGTCAGCGATTTCCTTTTTTAATCAGTATCCTGTTTCGCGCTAACGTAATTACGAGCGTGCAAAACAACAAACAATAAACAGTATTTTATTTTTTTATTTTTTTTTTTTTCACATATTCAATTCGTAACAATATTTTACAAACCGCAGAGAAGAATGTCGAACTTGGTATATAAATCCTCTTTTGCGGATATATAATCGAAAAAAACAAAAAAACACGCACAATTGAACTCTGCTCGGATCTTTAAGCGCGCGTATCCTGTTTCGCGGTTGTATCCGCGAGCGAACGAAAATTTCGCGTGTATGTACATGCATACAAGATGCGTGTGTGTGGTAAAAAAAAAAAAAACTCGCGCGTTGACGTTAACATAATAAGCATCGATGATACATGATCTTCCGAATTTGAGCAAGAGTAGTGCATCTGATTCCAGGTACAAGAGCGGCGTTAATCATTTGACGGACTTCATCGGGGTCGAGCCGAGCAAGAAGCGAAAACGAAGAACCTCCTTCACGCCGCAGGCTCTGGAATTGCTGAACGCACACTTCGACAGGAATACTCATCCTACCGGTACTAGCTCTTTCTCCCTTTCTCTCTCTCTCTCACGTTTATCTATTATTAGTTTTTACCGTTAAGATTTTCTACTGTTTGCAAATCTCGTCGTCGTGTAATTTCAATTGCATTTGAGAAATCATTGAATCTTTGCAGGTAACGAAATCACAACTTTAGCGCATCGACTGGGATATGACAGAGAAGTGATAAGAATCTGGTTCTGCAACAAAAGACAGGCTCTGAAGAACACGGTAAGGATGATGTCGAAGGGGGTTGTATAGGGAAGGAGCACATCCTCTACCGATCAACAGCCGAGCAACATATGAGAACAGCTTCAAGCTACGAGCGATGAGAAAGACGATTCGTGACGTTCTTCTCCTCCAAATCGCGCTTCTTCTCTAGTATAAATAAACAGAATCGTGCGAGAACGACATTTCCGTGTTAAAAAAAAAAAAAAAAAAAAAAAACCGGAAGAGAGAACGAAAATGAAGTTTAATCATTCCGGACTTTGATGCCGCACGGAAACATCGTTCCAGATCNTAGTATAAATAAACAGAATCGTGCGAGAACGACATTTCCGTGTTAAAAAAAAAAAAAAAAAAAAAAAAAAACCGAAAAAAAAAAAAAAAAAAAAACCGGAAGAGAGAACGAAAATGAAGTTTAATCATTCCGGACTTTGATGCCGCACGGAAACATCGTTCCAGATCGAAGCGAGGTTCTTCGAATATATTGTGATCGCAGGTGTATACGACATTTGTATGTAAATAGCTTTAATCTACGAATATGTGATGTATACACGAGTCGAATATCGAGAACTGATAATCTAAAATCGTTTGTCTCTCATTTGGTACCAATCCGTCGCGCGCTTCCAATTTTCATAAATCTATATTCACTGGAGAACACACCGACTACCTGGATCCAGTTTCGAGTTTCGGGCGAACGAGTTTATCGGCGATTGGTAAAGCATCGACCCCGACCGACGGACGTAAATGCCTCGACCTATGTGTGTACGTGAGCCGTTTATCATCGCGGGCAACGAGATCAGAGAAAAACGAGATTTCCAGAGAGAGGGTTCTCTATATAAATAATTACAGTTGCTTGATTGTGACACTCGTCGAGACGCGTACGTTTGTCTCGGAACACAAATCTCCGCCGAAACATCGCCGAGCAGAACGATGTTGTAAATCGTATCGCGCACACACATATACACACACATAAAAATTTAGCTACCTTTGGACAAACAAAATTGTTTAAAACGAAACGAAAAAACTATCACGCGTAAGTAAGTGATCTGTTCGAACTGCTACGCAATCTACGACGCGAGTCAAAATCGAAAGGAGGATGAGCAATCTTTCGCGCGCAGCAAGAACACGACCATGACCCGAAAAATACACGCGGTTTCGAAATAATATTGTCGCTCGTTGAGTTGCGTAAAATAAATAAAAAAAAAATGTTATTGCTTAAGTAAGAAATACAAAATCACATTGTCTCTATTGAATATATCATCCCTTACATATATATATATATATACATAAATATGTATACAGTTAGAACGAGCGCGATGATATTTCTATCATGGTTTCTCGGTGGAGAAAGGAAGAAAGGAAAAAAAATAGAGAAGAAGCTCTTGGCGCGCGAAGGATCTGTAAATTACACGTGTATTTAGAAATCAATGAAATTCCTTTAGCGACTAAATAACGCAATAACGTCTCTTTGAAAGTATATTATAAACAATTATGTATCACACGTCACACACACTACCGACGCTCCCGAAGTTGTATTTAATAATCCCTTGTAGGAAAAGAGAGAGAAAAAGAGAGAGAGAGAGAGAGAGAGAGAGAGAGAGAGAGAAAGAGAGATGAGATGGTTTAGGGACAGATGAGATAATTCGAGTTTCCGCAAAACTAGTCCGTAATAATCTCTGCCATATAAAATGTATACGTGTTAAAAAAAAAAAGATAAAAAAACGAGCACGCATCCTTCGTTCCTATAAATATATTGCGATCCGCTTACTCGCTGAATAACGATGAAAGCTCGGACGAAAAAATAACTTCGATCTTACCAGAGCTCAGTTTCGATCTGCGGGATATTCGACGAACGTCCAATTCTTCGATTGCGAAACACGCTTCTCAATGTCGTTCAATTTCTAGTTTAATTTTGTACGGTACACACGCAAAATAATGAAAAATGGTTATCGAGTATATAAAGCCTATTGACGTGTATATTCCGCGAAAAACGCACCGGATGCGTGATTTCGAAATCGAAGAATTATTTATGTACATTATTGTGTCCCTTTTATCAAGAAAAAAAAAACAAAAAAAAAAAAAACAAAAACACAGAATCGTAATAATAATCGTAATAAGTACGATATACAAACACGGCCATACAAAATGACACATCACTTAAACAATTGATTTGTATACGTTATTAATCTATATTATAACACAAATGCATTTATATTGACACGATTATTTCATAAGAAACGATCGACACCCCTCAGTCGTTTCTCCCGCATACGAGAATATTTAAACAAAGCCCTTAAAGTACGGTTTTCTTAATATTTAGCAAACAAGAGAGTACATTTAATGGGTAAGATTGTGCATAAAAAAAAAAGAAATGTACTTCATCCTCTTTATAATGGACTATTCACTACGATAATATTGTGAAATCTCTAACTTGACGCGTAGCTAGGGGCGCAAAGGTAGCCTGTACATAATTACGATATATAATAATACCTAGATATTGTAATATTACAATTAACTTTTATTATCTTAGCTATAATATAGCTGAAATTCATGCAAAGAAAAAAAAATTTACATGGTTAAAGAATAATAAATTTCTAAAAGTAAAAAAAAGTATTTTAAGGTTTTACTTTTAAGCCTGAGACACGAGAGCAAAGTGATCTGTTCCTAAAACGTTGTATTATACGAGTAAACGAGAGGGTGAAAGACGTGACTGGGGGTCGAAAAAAAAAAAAAAGTTATATAGTCCACGGACTAAAATTCAAAATTCAAAATTTCTATTAAAGGGTTGGGGAAACGTGTATGTTATGCTTTTTGATAAAAGAGAAAAAAAGAACTGTTTGTACAGAAATATTCCGGTTATTAAATTTTGTTATACGAAAGCGAGAGAGAGAAAGAGAGCGAGAGAAAGAGAGAGAGTGAAAGAGAACGAGAGAAAGAGAGAGAAAAAAGAGCACAGAGCGTCGAGAGAGACGTACGGTGGTGATAAAATTAAAAAAAAAAAAAAAACGTGGAAACGGTTTACGAATCATGTGTATTTTCTTCGTAAAACTGAAATATTCAAAATAGATCCTTCTGAAAAAAAAAATATAAACATGAGTATTACAACAAAAATGTGAATTGTATTCGTGAGTGTCATACTTCTAAGGAAGATAGATCCACGGGCGAATGTTTTATAGCAGTTTCCAGTTTAAATTATACACTTTCTCTTATCCGGTGTGATTTTTCGTGAATTAAAGATAGACCGAACAAACCAAAAACGAGTAGTTGCACATCATGACCTTGAATTAGCAAACAAAAACAAAATAAAAATAAAAAATAAAGTATCGAGCAAAGCTGTATCGAGTTCAAAAAAAACAGAGTCACGAATCAGTGAGAGGAAACTGCTTCTGAAACATTGTCCAGCGAAACCAAAGTTCCTACTACGTTTTATAAAGTATATAACTGAACTGCAGAACTTGAATTGTAAATACGATGAACGCAAAGTTAAGCTAATAATCACGATACAATCAGCAATTTAAACGACGCTAAAATACGACTCGCCGATCAATTGATTCGACATTGCAACTGTGTCGCGGAGAGCACAGCGCACATCGGTCGACACACTGTGGAGAAAAATCGAGCAACTCGGTAAGCTGTCTTGAAAAGGCGGGGGAGGAGGGAAGGAGAAGGAGGGAATCAATTGATCTTGGCAACGAAAAATAAACAACACAGTCGGCAATTAAGCACATAAATATACAATTAAATTAAGCAGCCGTAGCTCTAGCTTGAATGTTAGCACTTAGGCACACGATGTAACATTAAATTACGTATTTAAAATGAAGGTGAAGAATCTTAGCTGTTAAGCGAATACCTGTGTAAAATTTAGTAGGTGTCCACAAAAATAAAATAAAAACATATATTGTGGTACAAATAACAAAAAGTCGTACCTATTGTTCTACGCGCAAAAGATTGTTTATAAATCACAAACAAATAATTTCTTCCTCTTTTGATGATTTTATTTCATATTGTCAAAACCACATTCTTTTTTTCTCTACATCTATTATAGACTGCATTCTGTCTATATAAAAAATTATTTCTATAACTTATAACTAGAATTACGTTTTACAAATTTTATCAAATATATATATTTTTATATATCTTTCCTGCAATTTCTATTTTGGCACAATCAGTAATATATCCAATAATGTCCAGAACAAATTATTACTAACTAAAAGGTTTAAAAACAAGATTTTCTACAATTTCATTAATCGAGCAAAACAATATCCGCATTACTTTCACGATTGATCGATTGACTTCCTTTTATTTACTAACTCGAATTCGGACTTTTCGTTAGCAATTTTCGCTTTGTTCGTTCTACCTGACCACTCGATAATAATGTAACCGATCATTCCAACGCACAGTACTCCGATTAAAATGTACAATTTTTTATTGGTACAAAGATACGGACTGTACACGTACGTTATCACGGAACCAGTAGACTCCCATAAGCGGAAGTTGGAAAAGGCTGCCTCTTCTTGACCAGGAAATAAAATACCACTTAATGCTAAAAATGACATAATTATTAAAAAATAATTACTCGTTGCCAAATTTTACTAAGTCTTGAATACATTGATGCAAACAAATTAATTCTCAAAAAATTATTTCTTTCGAAAATCTTTTAGAAACAATATAAATGCGTTAACATTGATATTGCCGGTCGGTACAGTATCGTTCGGTGAAGATACTCGTTCGTCGGTATGATATTTATACACACGACAAATAAACTAGAAAATCTGGTTATTATCACACGATAAAAGTTTTGCAATTGTTATCGTGTACTTCGTGATTATTTATCAATAATAGACAATCTGTCTAAAACGTTCTTATAACTAATTGCAAATTTATTCGGTCGTACTTACCATTGATCTGAACCAGCCAGATCGAGTCGCACATACCCCAAATACCCGAGATCAGAAAAAAGACGATGCCCTGTTCCGGCGTCGGTCTCCATTGTAACATGAAGATTAGAAGAGCCATGTGCAAACAAAACGCAAAAATCATCACCGGTACTCTCCCGGTCAATTTTACAATCGCTCCAGTAATCGGAGCAGCTATCGCGTTCGTTACGCCGAAACATATCATTACGTATCCGATATTACTAATGCCCCAGGCACAGGAAACAAATGACTGTAAATAAAAATATTTAAAATATATATTACTACATTTCTCTCTTTAAAAAAAAATTCTTTTTCTACTTTTAATAAAAATAAACAGCAAAGTGTTCATGTTAAAAATTTTTCTTTATACTCGCGAGTCAATGCGGCATACTAACAGCGTTATAATCGGCGAATAGAAAGGCTTGCTCAGCTCCGATGAACAACGTTATTGGGAGTATTAAAAGTTGGCTCTTCTCTTTCAACAATTTTAATGTCACGGCCAGTAGCTTGAATCCGGACGATCCTTTCACCGAGCGCGCTCGGTTTTTGTCGTATCTGCGAAATAAGAAATTTCACATTAAAGAGACACGTTCTATGCAACTATGTGTGAGGGTTTTTATACACCAGAAAATTTTTAGTATCTTTTTTTCGCTATAAAAAAAGAATGTTTTTTTTGTATAAATACTTACATTCTTAGAGAAAAAAACTTTAATTATTCCAAAAAAAATAAGAAATTGCACCTGGTTGCGGGATCGACGCAGAACGAGATTATTAAACAGGCCACTATCATGCAACCTAAATAAATTCCGGAAATCAAGTGTATCCGTTCTACCGGAGGTGGTTGTAGATTAGGATTTTCGTCTTCCACGTTAGATACTCCGCAGAAATTTGAACCGCAAGTTTCCGCTACGATGCTGCTATTCAGAGTCGCGTTCGTGGCGATTGTATCGATTCCATACGAGAGAACTGTAATTAGAGATAAAAAAAAACACACACACGTCATGCAAATTAAAACAGTGTAAAAAAAAAAACTGCATCGTAATTGACATTGCTATACTAAGATAATTACGATATTACGAACTAATAATAATGAAAAATTATTCTTGCAGAGACAAGTTGTTACGATACACAATAAAAATGTATTATCCCAATTATTATATCGATAATCTTTCCGTATGCTCGGGCGCAAACGTGTTTCAACATAAGAAAAATAATCAACATTAGAATGCCCGATCTGTCGTCGATAGTCAATATCCGTTGTATAATCCTGTATATGATTGTCGACAACTTAATTTTGTTTTCATCGGAGTTCGCGTTTTATTACTTCGTCGGTGATGCATTTATATACGCGCTTCCGCCGTATAAAAAGCGATTGCATAAAAGTTGGCGCATCACTGCACCTCGTGTTTTTGCAATCCCGCGTTTGTTTACTATCTGTTGTCAGAAATGAAACGTGTTTACATCGAAGCAGGTGGAGCAGGTACAAACTCTTAAAAACGCGCTTCTCTCTCTCTCTCTCTCTCTCTCTAATGTTGAAAAACAATTTGAAATAATAAAATTGCATATAACAATATTTTGAATTAATGAGATGATATCTCGATCCGTTTTAATATTCATGCGGGAACGAACGACACGTCTCTATTTTACATACGCAACGAGATGCCGCGATTATCGATTCATTCCTTGTGTCACTTGTGGTCCGTAACACACAACGTTACTGAAAGTATAACATTAGCAAGCAAACTGTTAACTCATGTCGAAGACAAGCGCAAGTAATATGCAAATAGTTTACACACATGTTTGTCACGACATGTTTTAATCTCTGAAACATAAACTCGATCGTCTTTGTCGCATATATGACGCTTGTCCGCAAGTTGCATACATATATTCCGCGCTAACGACCCACCTGCTGAAGATATAAGATTCCCCCACACCTGTGCCATTTGATAGAACATGAAGAAGAGACCGAAGAATCTCGTGACAAGAACATCCGTGGCTATGTCCGAGACGGTCGAATAGGCTTCCGCTATTACGGTTAAGTAAGTGCACTTCGCGCACCAAAGCGGCCCTCCGCCCAATCCGACCAATAAACCGGCGGGAATCATCGTGTAAAATTTTGGATAAAACTGGGACGCTATGAAAGGCATGTAAGCGAATATAGCGACAGACATTGTCCACTTGCAGCCTAAGTAGCTGAAACAGAAGATCACACAATCGAGAATCAGAGAGTAGTTTTTTTTGTCTCTTGATTAAGTTGATTTCAAATTCAAGCCAGTGATAATTAACATGTTTTTTTTCGGATAGAACGAAATATATTATAGAGGTACATGTGTGAGTTCAGTGTTTACCGTAATATTAATGTGAAATTAATGTAAAATTTAAATCTCGAATCTCAACAAGTTTTTCTTTATTTTAGAAATCGCGTTGATTAGAAAATTGTCATCTTGAATCTTCGCACGCGCACAAGCGCCCAGACACGTTTATTTCACTCTCGATCATCCGGATGAAAATCCGCGGGGATTCCGTGCGACATAATTCCGGGCCAAGGTGAAAACGACAACGCGTAATAAAGTTTACTGCCGTGAAACTGTGCACGAGATCGGTGTACGTCGCCCGTGCGCATTCCGTCGATATTCCACACACGTGTGTAAAGGGAAAAAACAACAACGAGCGCTTCTTCAACGCGCGATTGCGTGTCCAAGGCTCGCCTCCAACAGACAATGCCTCTCCGAAAAATACTATATTTATTTTTACCGCATGAACAAACAGCGGCAATCAAATCTGACGATAGTTCTCCATTGACGGCCAAAAAAAAAACGCAAAATATTTTTATCACTGTATAAATATTTGCCAATCATGGCAGTCACCGGAAGTATTNACGAGCGCTGCGCTATCGCGTCAATTCACAACCGAGTCGGCTTTTGTGACGTATTGAAATCATTATTTAAAATCATCACAAAACGATACAGACGGCAACGATGTGTGCGAACACAAGATTGCTCGAGAATCTTACCTTATAACCAGAGCGGGTAGAAAAATATTGCTGAAGAGCAGACTGCCGTAAATCGCCGATAAGGTAAATGTGCCGAGCGACTGATCCGCATTGATTGAGCTCTGTAGATTCGCGGCTCCCATGAAGGCGGTGAAGAGCACCATGAAGGCGCAGCCGATCACCAGGATGTTCCTCATAATTCGCCATCGCTCCGACGGCTCGAAATCCGGACCCGGTACTTTCACAAATTGTTGTCTTACTTCGATTTTTTTGTCAGTCGTCATGATTGAATTAGCGTATGCAAATTCTTCGTTGATGATGGTCGTTTGTACGCCCGGATGCGGAGTTGTATATTTCGCGTTGCAAATTTCTCAACGTTCTTACGCGTCCATTTTCCGTTCGAGATTCTGTTCCGCTCGATAAATTCCTCCTACAAATTATGTTCGACTTGTTCGAAAATTGAAAATAACGAGACAGATTTTGTGAGAAGGGAAAAAAAAGAACACGTGGAAACACGTCGCGTCAGCATTTTTATGGATATACACATATTCGTTTACTCTTATTTTTAACACGTGGCAAACGACTTTATCACGACGTATTGTTCTCTTCGTTGTTCTCTCTGTTAAGTTCTAAAATTAATCACGATCTCTTTTTATCAATGTGATACACATTTGAAAATCAAGAATAAATTTGAATAAATTAATGTACTAATTAATTCACTTCATAATCTCAACACACCCTGATTTTCATTAAAAGATATCGCGGCAAATGATTATAGGCTGTAATATGGAAACTCAAATCTATTCGCGTTCTCATATGACGATGACCAACCCATGCAATTTGCGTGAAGCCACTAACGATTTCAGGTAATTAACGAAC